CCTCCTCTGTTCTGGGGTCCAAATGAAGGAAAAAGTATCTGCTAGTTTCTTCTTGTGCCCAACAAACCTGTTGTGGCAGCTTAGCCTCTACCTAGGCCAAAAGGCAGGTGCAGGTACCAAAAATGGAGGTATATGCCCCTTAGATTTGCCCTTCCTCCTGCCTAGTCAAAAGGCCACAGGTAGCCTGCAGGGAGGTGACAAGTCTGGTCTATGAGGTGATGTGTTGAGGAGATGGGCTGGCACTACACAGCATATGGGAAATGGGCCATGGATGGGAATCCTTCCATCATACCATCTAGGGTAGGAAAGACTGCACCGTTAAGGGTCTACAGAAGGGTCAGTACAGTGCTGTGTCCACTGAAAATCAGCTCTCCTATGGAACTGTCTGTGATTCACAATGCAAAACACCACCACAAGTGTTCACAGTTCCTCCATCTGGAGTTTGCAATAGCCAGGAAAAGTATGCAGGCTGTCCTGACTGGACACTGAAAACATGTGCAGCAATGTTGGTAGCTGATGGTGGGAGGTAAGGTTAACCATTCAGCAATATGCAGAGCCTAATGAGGGATCCAGGAAGGGAGAAAAGAAGCCACTGCTCAGGGTGTATGTGCAAAGCATTCTATGGTCTTTATTCTCTAAGCACTGAGGCGATTACAAAGACTAGTTACAGAAGAGAGTGACACAGAGGTTCACATTTTGTGCACCACCCGTGTCACTTTGCTGTCTGCTGACATTCTCACTCTTCCTCCTCTATCTTCCTGCTGTGAAACTCGCGGCTCTTGGCTCGGAGCTTGTTGACCTGCGACTCTGCAATGTCAGCCCGCTCCTCGGCTTCCTCCAGCTCGTGCTGGATCTTGCGGAATTTGGAGAGGTTCACATTGGACAGCTCCTCCTGTAGGGAGAGACGGAGATGGTGGTGAAGAGCCCAGGTCAGAGCTTTCTAGTGCTCCTGCCACTGGGACCTGAGGGGTTGTGACTGTTCCTTGGCTTGAACAAGAAGGTACAGACCCTCCATCCACCACCCACCACTATTTTCCCATAAATCTTACATGGACCTCTTCATTCTCCCTTAACTTAGAAGATCCCTTGTAGACTGAGCAAAAGAGGCTCTGTACACAGGGTGTGTGAGATTGTCCCCTCAGAACTCTTGAGAGGACACAAGAATCCTTCCTAAAGATGTCTAGTGAAATTTAAGACATTTTTGATGAAATTCCAGAGAACCTCTTTTTTTAGAATCTACTTGAGACATTGCAATTCTTGTATTCTTAACCAAGGACTCTTTCTCAGTTCTCAGTGCAAGACTTACAGCCTCTTCGGATTGTCTCTTGTATGATTTCACTTTCATTTGCAGCTTGTCCACCGGGTCCTGGAGCCTGAGAATATTCTTCCGGTCTCCCTCGGACTAGAGCAGTGGTGAGCAGAAAAGAGAGAAAAGGGAGTGCATTGTTTCCCCACACCAAAAATAACATTTCCCCATGAGAATCACAAGGAGGAGGCCTCCTGCCTTACCTGGTAGG